CGTCTTTGAGGTCTCGAGAGGTGACGGCGACTGTTGCCCTTCGCGCGCGTTTGGCGGCCAGCGATTGGCGGTGCGGCAGTGGAGGGGGCGGAGCCGCCAAACGAAAGCCAATCAAATGTCGCACTTGGGGTCGCACTTCATTGACGGCACTCTTTGTCCACTTTTTGTACCGATTTTGCGGCAAAAGCGACGAAAAGTCTTTGGAAGAGATGTTTTCGGGCGTCGTTTGCGCCAACAATCGGTAGACACTCTCGCGTTCGGCCAACACCTCTACCATTGCGTCCATTTCGGCGCGCGGATCCTCCAGACGGCGCGCCGGCAGAACCCGTAACGCCCACTGGAGCGCAGTGTACGCCGCGTCCAACGCCGACAGGAAGCCGCGACCCGCGCCACTTCCGGTCGGCCAAAATGGCTCGAGAAGCGAGTCGCCCGTCAACAGCATCAACACATGCGTCGACGCCTCCCCTCCCGGCGCGCAACACGTGGTGCGGATCTGTTTGGCGCGCGACGCGTTCCTCGCCGCGTAAACGGACGTGAAGTCGAAGAGCGCGACGTCTGGCGATTGCGAACCGTTGAGCGCGAACTCCAAGTCTCGTAAACCCGACTTTTGGGGAACAAAATACACGTAAATATGGGGTAAAAAACGCGATTCGAAATACCGTCCACTCGGCGGCGTCGCGCGCGTAACGCAACAACTCTTCGCGATTGACTGTAAGAGACAACAGTTATTACGATTACGTCTCTCTCTTTGACGTCACACTCACTGTTCGCGTCGTCCAATAGGAGATGCGTTTCGGCTAAATCTGTGCGAAGGACGCCGCGCGCCAACAACGACGCCTTCGTGGCCGTCATCACGAAGTAATGCGTTTCGTCGCTATAGTAACAGATGTTCTCCAAAGCGATGCGCGTGTCGTCGAAGAGCGCGCGGAACCACTTCTGGTTGTAAATATAGGAAACGCCGGAAATCTCGACCGCTCTGACATCACTCTCCGCGCGCCGGTTCACGAAGTTGGCCGTAATGGCGATCGCGAGCTTTCCTCTAAACTCTTTGCGCGGAAAGTCCTGGAAAAGAGTGTTTCTTCGGCCGTCGGAACCGATGACGACATCGAAGGCTTCGGCGCTGAGTTCGCGGTCTTCGGCGCCCGACTCGGAGTCCACGAAATGGGCTTTCGCGCCGTCTATACGGAGAGAGAGCTATAGTTATAGTAATGAGAGGACACGTGACTGACCGCCGAATCCGTGCGAATGACAGCAACAGTCGCAGTGTTGTGCGTCTGCGCAGACGCCGTCTTTTTGGGCGAGAAGTCGCGGACAGAGCTCTT